TTGAGATATCTTCGCTCAAAGTTTTTAAATTTTTTATTTTTACCGGGATCTGCATGTCGATCAGTATCAAAAAAGTAAGTGCAGGAGTATCAAAAACGTAAGATTTGCGTCCGTAGACGGTCCGCGGCTAGGGTATTCCATGGAAATCAGGATATTGAATAGTAAACATTTGTTTCCCTAATTATTCTGTATTCCTGATTTCCCACAGAAATATGAATGAAAAACGGCAATAATATAAACAAATGTTGAAAATCACGTTATGGGACATATTAAATCATATGTCCCATTCCGTGATTTTCATGGCAAAGACCCAAATAATATTTTCTTTCGCTTCATCGCTTTCTTATTGTGCGATGAATTTTTTTTATAATTACTTAATATTAACCGACAATTTATCTAATCAATTATTTTTTTTAAATTCGATACGGGATCTTTATTCAATATAATTTTTTTTCATTTAATATATTCGAAAAGAAAGTCAAAATATAAATTGAAACAGAATTGAATATCCTTAGTCAAGGTCTGCCGGCCCGGTCGACCGGTCTGATGTTTTATTGGCCGGATCGGCCCAGGGTTTTAGCATCGAGCAATATCACTAATCATGTCCTATTTTATATGATAATCTATGATGAAGTAGTCAGCAATTTTATCTTGGATATACTTTAACCTTAAATTTCTATTTTCATGCACTTTGTTATTTGTATAATTTTCCTTTTTTGGGTTGTACCGGCTAAAGATGGCTGACGGATGACGAAACCATTTCGTTAGGCAACTTCGAGTTGTCGAAATAACGAGTTATGAAACTCAAGACGAATGCTAGAATAACGAAAAAGATAATAAAGTTTATATTTAATGTATGGCATTGGTATAAACGTAATAAATGTAAGAAAAAATTATAAAATATAATTTTTCTCTAGGAATCGTGTGAATTGTTCGTTGCATGTAAACTCGCTATTTATTTTTGCCACATTGATAATACATTACCCAATGATTTGCATTAATCACCGGATGTATCCGATATCTGTTGAATGAATTAAATTTGTATGAGCATGTTAAATTTTACTGAGTTAACTTTTTTTTATAACGAACTGACGATTTAATAAACAAAAAAATCGTTACTAAATAACACTCGTGAGCGTTGTTTTGAAGACCGGGTCCTTCAAAAATAATTTATATGGTCTCGAATTAGCACTCATGGGCGTCCGCATCTTAATATAGCATATAATTTATTGTTGCAATAAATAATATACAGTCGATTAAGGATAGGAATCGGTCAGAAGCTTTTAGTCGATTAGTCAGTCAACTAAATCTGTTAATCGTCGAATGACTAAAAATTGACTAATTGACTAATCGACTAATCAACTACTCAACTAAATGAATAGTCGAATCGGTTAGTTTGAAATTATATGAACAATAGTTAACCAATTAAATTTGTCTATTAACCTTTAATTAATTACGTATAATAACTAGTCAATTAATTATTATATAATTACAGCTGTTTTCAAAAAGATGTGGAAAATGATTTCCATATACCCATGTGGGAAATTAGAGATGTGGAAAATCTTCTTGGTAAAAATTAAAAATCCGATTAAGGAAGGCGGGTCTTTGAAACTGTAAATCCTCCATGGTATAGTGATTTACATCTTTCCACAAATTTTTGAAAACGGCTGAATTATCCAATTATCTGATTAGTCAACTAGTTGATTAGTCAACTAATCGATCGACTGATTATAAAAAAACTTAGTCGATTAGTCGACTAATGATATTACTATCCTTAGTACAAATAAAATAAAATAAATAATAAAACAAATTTTAGTTTGATCTAGTTTATTTAAATAGTTGTAATTTTTATAATTGTAATTTTGGGTTCCCAGAAGCCGTTTTACTGATCCTGACAAATTTAGCTTGCATTAGTTTTAGTGCTAGCCAATTTCGTAAGAAAATAGGTTCGGAAAATCGTACGTACGTACTGTACCTTGCTGAAATTGTATTGACGATCCTCTCGTGGTCATTCGGGTCTCACACATTGCGTGTGACAGTACGATCTTAATAATTCTAATAATTAATGCTATAACAGAATAAATGAATGATCTTAACGTTAATAGATAAGATTTCCATGCTTTCATTTTGAGGTAGGTTTATAAGACCGAATTAAGGTTCATATACAAAAAATGGCACTATTGTAATAAGATTGGGTAAAGTGTAGAATTTTCTTGCAGGAAACAATTGATGACATGAAACTCTACCAATACAAATGCGTATATAATCGACTGATTCATAGGATCAGGAAAATTACATAATTACATTATCTATTTAGGGATAAATAATTATGGTTGTAAAATTGCATTATTAACAAGAATCTTTGAATATTATCCTCTGAGCTTTTAGACTTTTGATCATTTTAGAAGTGAACATATATACATATAATTGAAATGATTTGTATTGTTCTACGTATTAACGCCACTAACGTCTGATAAGGGAATTCGGTTCTTGAAATTAACAAAAATTGTTTTATGTTAAATCCAATAAAATAATAGTTTTATGTTAAATCTAATACAATACGTATTAGTTTTTTTTTTGTTAATAAAATACATAAACATTAAAAGCATTTATCTAGTTATTTTTTTTAAAAAAAAATATTTCAATCGCAAATAGAAATAGTTTATCTCCGAATGAAGTAAATTCGATTTTCATCGGATTTAGCTTTACAGGATGCAGTATAATGTCAGAGATCATAAAGACTTACTATAGAATAGTATCTTTTTGTTATTTTGGTATTATAGATTGTTTTAATCTCCACGTACGTACGTATGTACGCATATACGTGCATACCTTGTTCCCTTTGTTTTCTTTTTGTACTACTTTTATCGGTTATAATTTGTGTCCATTCAGTAATAAGTATTCTTCCCGCATAAGCGCTTTAGGTATGTATGTACGTACGTTAGACAATTAAGTGCTCTGTAAGGTAACCCATTAGCCACGAAAAAAAACAAATCCATTTAAAAACATTACTGCATTAATGATATATTAATGATATATTAATGTTATTTGTATTTCACTATTCATACGTACGTACGTATGATTTTTTTTTTATAAAAACTGTACAAATTCCAATAAATAATTCACAACACTTACTACGGTGCTCGAAGTAAAACCGCCGGACGATATACGCACTTTGATTTTTATTATTTTAAAATTTCCATTAATGCTATTTACTTCCTTCTGCTAGTCTCTTGAGCATTGCTCTTGTATTTAGCTATTGGCAGAAAAATAAGAGACGATTTTTATAAAGTAGATAACTTTATAACCGTCTTTTGAAAAGAACCCTCTAAAATAATTTGAATTTTTTTTTTTTTATAAGAGCGTTTGCATTATCTTTTTGATAAAAAAGTTCATGATAGTTGTAATAGCTTTTATAAAAAATAAATGATAATGACTTCATACAGTGATAATAGTTATCTTGGTAAGTATTATTGTTTTTCGTTTTTTTATAAAGTAAACTAAATTACATTCATTCATTCATTTAATTATTTGTTTTATGACAGCAAGAGCATGTTACATTCCGTTCATTTTAGTCTGGTAAAAAAAAAAGAAATTATTCATTTGTTTATCTCCTTAGTAGGCATTAAAATTTTAACACTGGTTAAATTTGTGATAACAGGATGCTCATACGTTCGAGGATAATATGTCAATGGGAATCCTTTTCAATATCTCGATTAATCCGCTTAGACCCTTGTTCCCTTTTTACATATTCATTTGCCTTGTCATTGATTACACAACTGGGAAATGATGTTATAATATATTATATTAGAAATCAAGAAATTGATACAAATTCGACAATATCTGATAATTCTCAACAGTTTATGACGAAGCCTGAATCAACGTGGTCGTCATTGGATTTGCAACTGAACATGGTCGCATGTTATTTAAGTGCTATATCTATAAGTTTTATAATGTGAGTTTCGGTTTTCTTTTTTTTTTTTTTTGAATGTTTATCCGCAGCGATCGTTGTATCGATCATGGAATATTCTTTAAAATAAATACTGTATAAACAAATCAACCAAATCATTTTCGTACAACAAAAAAGCATCAATCATTTTGTTAGTGTTTTGTTTCGTGTAACTCTTAAGACGGGGGCCGAAACTTTCTCTGGTTCCTTGCATGCATATACATTTTTATTTATATTTGTACTGCACATTAATTACCTCCATTTATTTAATAGAACAAGCTTACTAGCATTACAAGCTTATTGGAATTATCTCATGGAACAATTGTCCAGGCGCCAGTTCATTAGTACTTGGGAATATTGGACTTATTTGGTGCTGGCCATCTTATTAATTCCTGTGTATGTATCTTTTAATTTATATTAATTTATAATTATTTTATACTGTATTTAAAAAATTATTTAATTTCATGCTAATTCATATTTTTCTCTTTTCTTCTAATATTATTAATTAGATTCCCAATACTAGCTGCAGTATTTTCAATATTAAAATCGGATACATCTTACCAAGTAGACCTTCCTCAATTAATTTCAAGTTCCCTGACTTTCATTATATTTTTACTTGGTTTAAGAACCCAATTTGGAATCTCAAAATTAATCAAAACTCCTACACGAAATATTTCTCAAAACCAAGGAAAATTAAAATATTTTCAAGATTTAAACGTCTGGTTAATAATGTCCTTGTTTCTTTGGTCAATTAGTTATGTGCTCTTAGTGATCGACAAATTGTTCATCTCTCAACAATTTCTTGGTAATTCCCGATTTTTAATTGATTTCTTGTCCGTAAACGCCAATTTCGGTAGATTGTTTGCATATATTACTTTGATCTTGATCGTTTATCCTGATTTTTCCATCGATTCTTCATCTTCTCCGAAACGACAAATTTCGAAACCAATGAATTTTATCAAGCATGATACTCCAAATTTAGATGAACTTATTTATCAATGTCATACTTCGGTAGACTCTTCAACTACTTCTGAAAAACAATCCTCAACAAAATTGTCAAAAAAAAATTCAAAAAAACTACCTTTAAAAAAATCAATAAATGACGATGTTCTTCCAATTTCTCCAGTAAGTCAATCAAGTTTAATAGACGAGGCATTACAACAGCAAATTGTGGTTGAATTGACACGTGAAAGGACTGTGGAGCCTGCTTATATGCATGCTTACATAAATCCTCACGTACCTCATAGGAATAATTTACAATCACCTACACCAAGTAATAGACCTTTTAGTATTAATTCAGATTTATTAGCTCCATTACCAAGTCCAAATTCGGATTTTGGTGGTATTAATAGTAGAGCTAGAAATAATAGCAATCAAGGTAGATCTTTGTTTTTCCAAAATAATAGTCATCAAAAAATAGCTCCAGATAGTGAGGAAATAATCAACGGTACACGATCAGATCAGAATAATATGAACAGAATAAATCAAGGTCAAAATTTTGTTAGTATTAATGTTAATGAGCAAAATGATTCTCAAGATGTTAAAAGGGATCAACGTAATCAGAAGGATAGAATTCATCTTGTTATTGATACTAATGTAAGGAACAATATTGGTAAACAGAGCAATAATGAATTCTTAAATCCATCAATGAAATATAAGAATAGCTTTATTTAAAAATTCTCCTAATGACCGTCACAACTTTATATTGTTTTTTTTTTTTTTCGTTTTGTATTTCTAGAAAATGTAATATCAGAAATCAATTCTTTTTTTCGATCACGCTTAGTAGGTGTTTTAGGATTCACTCTCTAGAATATATGCATGCATCCATCCATCCACACACAAAATTCATCCATTAATTCATTAACACATTCATTCACTCATTCATTTCACTCACTACTCATTGTAAATCTAATCATCATTATGATTGTAAAGTAATAAATTTCTTGGTGCGTTTTTTTTGCTGCGGCGTCGGCAAAAAAAAAAAGTAAAGTGTAATCATGCATAACCTTTAAATGAATAATATACGTTGTAACATACACAAACGCACGAAAAAAAAAATAAAGAAAATAATGTTTGTGGAGTATTATATAAACATATAAATGGTGTAGCCATTAAAAAACAACATCAACATACGTACGTACGTACTGTATGTACGATTTATTTCATGCATAAAGTCAGATTATCAATAAAAAAAAAACAAACGTGTTTTGAAATAACGATCGTACTGAGTGTTCAATCCACACGTGACTCAAGTAATGTAATACTGTGTAAAGAATAATTTAAAAAAAACGAATCAAATATTAACATTAAGATTTGATATACACTATTTTATTTGTTTATATATTTGTTTTTTTATATCTTGGTAAATTTATTTAAAAATTAATTTAGAAGTTAAATTACACTTTTACTAAACGCACCTATAATGTTTTACCATCTATGTTTCTTATGCGATGCTCTAAGTAAAAATGCTCTGTTCCCAAATTCTAACACTAAATAATAACCCCAAATATAAATTTGTGCTAAAGATTTTATATACAAAACTTATAAAAACTCGGAAAAACATATAAAAACATAATAGGTGCAAAACCACCATAGGTGCGTTTTATTGACTACAGTCAGGTCTTCCTAAATGCACTCCCTTCGGGAGTGTGCATTTGGAAAGCGATTTTTAATTATGAACGTGTACGTACGTATATTAATAGTTGCAACCGAGGTTCAGGGTGTGCACTAAGAGTAGACTCGTGCAAATTAAACCGCATTTTTATGCAATATAAAAAATTTTGATTATGTGATATCATTGCAATTAAATTAGGGATTAAACAAATAGCGATAACAATAACTAGAAATTATTACTATGCCACACCGTAATTGTTTAAATAATTACAAGTTAAATTTATATCAAAAAAGCTACATATTATGTGCATTGGTTTTATGTTGATATTAAGCAATATTGCATTTTGCACAAATATTGCACTAGTAACGTCAAAAAAAAAACCCCAAATTTATCACGCATTTATGTGTCTAAAATGTAATTGCACAAGTCTGAACATTCCAACAGAGTTGAAGTGTGTGCATTTAAAAAGGGTTGCATTTAGAGAGTAGTTCTTCTAAGTACGTACGTAAAGTATAGTACATTAGTGGTTGGAACTGAGGCACGGGCTGCATATGCACCTTAGGAGTTCTAAGATGTCATTTTTCAGGGTTTATTTAAGATTACATAAGAATTTTTAAATAATACAGTTCTGGAAATTTTTAATCAACGAATGTTACTAACGTTATATATTGTTTTATTTGCACTAAATTATTCACCCCTTATTATCTAATATATACCACGAAATTTGAAAATTTATCAATAATCATTCAAAAAGAATTACATATATACTATATTTGGAAAAATATATGACGGTGCCACAGGCATTTTGACGCAATGTTACGTATAATAATTACATATCATGCAAAAAGAATTTAAAAAAATCAATAATTCAAAAGCATTATGAATATAAACATTCTAATTATTTTAGTAGATCATTTTTGTTTTCCAAGAAGAATTGCGTAACCGTTTTCGGTTTCCATTTTTCAATTTCAGTAAAATGAGGACTTACAAATTTCAATTTACCCTCCTTAATAAACTCAAATAAACGATAAACAGTTTCGACTTCAACCGGTGCAGTAATATATTTCTGGAGATGTTCTCTGATATGTTCTTCATCTTCACATGGTTTATAGGTTAATTCATGATGAAGAGTCACACTGAGACGTTCAGCGAGAACTTTTCCGGACAAAAGTTCGCATCCAGTAACGGTATAAATATTAGAATAATAGTTTTCGGATTTATCAAGTATATGCTCTGCGGCTTTACCGACCTATAACAAATGAAACGATATTTACTTAAAAAAATAATTAATCTTGAAAAAGTTATTATTTATAATATACTTACATCTTCAACTGCAACTGGTGCAAACTAAGTTTTTAAAAGTAATTTGTATAAGTGATTAATTTAATTATAAGTGATTAAATTTAACCAATAGTTTCAATTTATAACTTATTACTCACCTCTCCATTACCAATAGGCAGATCTAAAATACCTTTTTTGATGCAATCTTTAAACGCTAATAAGTAATGATCATAGATTCCAGCTCTTAAAATTGACCTAAATACATTAATAAATAAAGAAATAAATATATTATTTAAATAAATGAATTTTAATACATTCAAGCAATTGTCATACATACCAATAACGGTGAACATGTGAATCTTTATCTTCAGTTTCATAATTACATTCTTTTGTTATCATTTCCTTAAGCTTCTCTTCAAGTCCTCCATACTTCTTTCCAACATAATCATCCCGTTCATCAGCCATAACAATCGATTGCAACAATACGAAAGGAACTTTGTCCCGACTAGCTGCTTCAATATAAATGTATCCTGCATCTAACCTTTCAGGTGTCAAGATAATCATTAATTTGTTAACATCATTAAATTTCACGTTATTTGGATCATCAATGACAACAACTTCTGCTCCGTATTGTGAAAGTTTTTCACGAATTTCTGGTGAACTATTTGGACTCACACCGGCCTTTATATGCATACGACGGTTTGACTGCTTAGAACCAGTGTTAAAGAGAGCGAATACAGTAGCAATGCCTGTTGGCCGATCTGCTTCAAGAATAAAAATATTATCTTTGGTCATTTTGTCGTAATTTTTTTTTTCTTTTGAAAAGCAGAGCTTAAGAGACGAGTAAAGAAGTTGTATACAGTTATATAGATTTTTTTTTTTATATCATATGATGTCAATATTTTATAATTTACATTGCTAACGCTAATATGACATAATATTTCCTGATTTTTTTATAAAATTCAGGTAATTTCCATAACGATAATGATTTCGAAATAATCTCGCCACATATTTAAATTGCTTTTATCAACTAATTACGTTATCATACATAAAATTTTCGCTAGAATGTCTAGAGTAGTACCGCTCTAATTGGAAAATTTTGCAATCAGGCCACAAAATTGTGGCATGACGTTTCCTGATATTTTTCCGGCGATCTTTTTATTAAAATCTATAATCGGAGGTAGTAACGATAGTAATAATCAATTATGATGTAAGAAAGTGTTAAAATACTGAATAAACGGAAATTTTCCGATTATCAAAAAATTTGAGCCGGAATTTTTCTTATTAATTTATCGGAATTTCAGGTTATATAATTAGATTACAGTAAGTGCCGAAAAAAAAATCGTGCGGAATTTTATCTTTGTAATCTAGGTCGATGATCTTCAAAATTTTAATTTTTGGCAGGAAAAATCATGTAATCATGCAACTAATAAAACGTTAATCCTAACCTTATGTGATGGATAAGTGAAATGATTGTTTCATTACAGTAACGTGAAAACGAAACAAAAAAAATTTTTTTAAAAAAATCCCGTGACATAGGCAAGCATCTAAATCAATTGATTAAAGAATGATCGTGATGACGCTCAAGCATCACAATCAATAGCGATATTTATAGAA